ATTCAGTTGCCTCGGAACATCACAAACGAGAGATTCAGCTGGGTTCCAGATGAGTCTCTTGCAAAACCAAATTTGTTTGCAAATGAGTGTATTTCGCTAATTTACTGCAATTTGGTTTCAAGTAGAACATACGATTGACGGAAATTCGGGAATTGCGCCCACCTGATGAGCCCCAAGAAGGGCGAAACCGGTCGTGGGCTGTCGAGGAGTTTTGAGCAACCTTATGAGTAGTGCACTACGAACATACGTGTATCGCGATATCTCGAATATCTTAGCAACTGGAACATGAGGCGGCCTGGTGCAGTACATTCAGTTGCCTGGAAACATCATAAACGAGAGATTCAGCTGGGTTTTAGATGAGTCTCTTGCAAAACCAAGTTTGTTTGCAAACGAGTGTATTTCGCTAAGACCGTCTAAAGGTTTTCCAGTGTTCAGTATGCACTTCAAAAACTAAACATGGAATACTTACCAACAAACTAAAGTCCATTTTCTGTTCCGCCAATACTTTGGCCAGCCGCGCTGTTTGCGCAAATGGTACAACGGCTGAAAGGAAGAGAACGTGTTTGGGGGCTTCGTGCATTCCGAGAGGAATTTTCGACAGTATCGTGAATATACAAGGAAGTAGCCAAAGTTCGTAGAATAAGAGGACGCACGTGAAACGTGAAAGTAAAGCGTTTCACACTGGGTGCGATGTCCTCATGTTTCAGAGTACTTTATCAGATAACGTGTCAGTTAGCCATTTACAGCTCATTGCGGAAACAGTGGAATGCACGACCAGTTACAACTTCCGGCCGAAGCGAACCTGTTTTACCTATCCAGATGGCTTTGGATAAGAACTGAATGGCATAACAGAAGACAAGGCCGTTGTGATTAGCCAAGTGAACACTGTCCGTCATCCAGGCGAGAACAGATGGGCCCATCTGTGTGCTAATGGTCTTGATAGACACCTCCCTGAGTGAACTTGTTTACCCAGCGTTGATGCGTGTCTGATTGACAGGAAAGATTCTGAAAGTAGTCCTCATGCGTATAACTGCGGTGTGCTATTTTTGACGATCGGGCTTGGTGCAAAGCAAGGGGGATAGTAAGTAAAATGAACTTACGCTAACAGACGAATATTCTCGGTTATTGATTCTTTTATCAAAGTGAGCAACGAGCAACTTTGAAATCGAGCAACATGAGGCCCGCTATTATATAGTGGATTGAGTTCCTGGACGCTGGTTCAACTGATTTCGGAGTATCAGCCCGGGTGCCCACAAACAAAATCCCGGCTAGCTCACGTGTAAGAAAGTCGAATATCATTTCAACATGTAGGCCATCTTTCAACTCACTCTCAGAGAGTCGACCCAAACTCCTTGCTTACTGTTCGCGAGGTGGACCAGTAGTTTACAAACAGCCTGTGTCACGTGACAGTTATCGATTGCAAAAATCGATCTTTTCGTATAGATGGCGTTCTAGTTGTCTTTTTTCTGATGGGTTGCTCAATATCTGCAAATAGCCTACTATCTACAGTCAACCTGTTTGGCACTCATCAGATAGGCGTAGTTCCAGCATTTTCAGCGTGGAAACAAGCTCATCGTACTTTATCCGGTATTCGAACCTCCCAAACTTGTAGTGGCGAAGAAGTACTACGGGGGTCTTTCACCTGTCAACAGGGGTTGATGTGCGTTTTCGTGACAGCAGTTAAGCAACACTGGTCCTTCTAGTTATCGCAAATCGGTCGCCTGGTAACCTGCATTGTTCTGTGTGACTCCGGAAACTGCTCATATGGGGTGAACAATAAAACGGAACTTTGTTTAGCTCAATGAAAATTCGGGATTCTCGGGATCAGTCTCTGAAATACTCAAATCATGGAACATATCTCTCAAGTTGACCAGGCTGGTGGTTGCCGTGCCACCTTTGTTTACTATGCCCGAAAAGGGTGAAAAACTGTTCGGGCCTCCAGGTGATGGAATCGGAGTGAAAAGACGCAAAGAACCGGTTTTAGGTCTAATACCGCATCCTGTCGCCTTCGTGTATCTGTGTGTGAATGTGCGCAGCTGACCTACTTATAAGCAGTCGGGCCTTCTCTGTTGAGCCTTTCCTGACCAGTTCTGTCGAAATTTCCGTGTGATCGCTCCGCCAGTGTGAATCACGAGACAGGCCACTAGCCTTTGTCTGGTCTGTAAACCTTGGTACTGCGTTAGGCCGGTCAGTGACGCACTTGTGCATTGGCTGACTCGACGACAATGAAGGACTAAAGTCCGTCCCATAACTTTGCTTACTTTTGTAGACGTTCGAACCCCATTCTTCCATTTGACATTTGAGATCGCCAGACATACACGTGTTGGGAGCCTCAACATACAGACAGCCAATATGAATTTACAAGTTACGTTTGCATAACTTACTGTCAGCCGTTCCGTGCACCAAGAGTATCTCTTTTTGTCTGCTATGTTTAGTGAATTTGGTCAGGTCGAATTCCTGGAGAAATATGGCAGAAGAACACACACAAAGAAGGAACGGATTAACACGTGCTTTTGGCTGAATGATCACAGAAACTCTTAAGGTTATGACAAATGGAAAACGTTTGCGAAACACGGACTGTGCAACTGTCTACCGGCATTTCCACGGCGTGGTCACAATAGCGATTTCATCATCAGTCCCATCTAGAGGCCGTTTAGTTACAATTTTAGGAGTGATTGACGGATACTGCCACCAGGCGAACAGTGTGAGGACAGACCGCTCAGGGAAGCAAGTGAAAAAGTTACGTGGGAGAAATTCGGGCGCTAGTTTCACGCATCAGTGCGTGTTTTCATGGGCACTCCCAGGGACGAATCTCTTAAGGATCCGGGTGAGTGCTCACAAAATCAAGCATGCATTTCGGGTTGCGGAAATTATCTTGGGAATACTTGGTTGGCCGACTGTCGATTTGGTAAGGTAATCATGAAACAACGTGTTTTTCTCACTGTCCACTTGTTGAAGTAGATTCCCAAGGGTGTAGCGGCGTGTGTTACTGACAAAACATGTGAGTAGTATCTGTTCAACTGATCTATAGTGCCGTCAGCGCGTCCGGTGGAAGGTTGATTTGGAAATCATCGGACAGTTTTGCGGTGTTTTTATTCTTGTTTGGTATTCCAACAGCAGTTACGAAATTTCAGGAGGGGGCTTGAGGATATTACCGTTTTAAAGGTCCTACTCAAATAGCGCTTTCATTTTCGTCTCTGCTTACTTCGTGTTAGTCGTTGGGGCCGCTACACCCCANAGATATTTATTTTATTCCTGAATGCATAACTGCTATTGAAGCTGGATAAAGACGATCGATATGCCGACAAGTTGTTCGACCCAGAACAGGAGCAATTGGGAAGTTCATATTCCATTTTTTTTACCCATCTCTTAAAATAATGAAAATCCATTTCGGGCTGAACTCGGGTTGTGGTTTTCCTCAGAGCCCACTCTGCGCGAAAGCAACGATTTGATCAATCGTTTGATATGTTGGCTGTTTGGCGTGTGAGCTGAACATTACCGGGTAGTGTGGTAACCCATAGGCAATTTCAGTCCGCAACACTTCTACCCGACCTAAACGCGGTAACCGCGCGTAAAATTGAAGTTTGTCATGTTGAATTGCCGTCGCTCGAGTTTGTGATGCTTGTTTTATGTTTCCTTCACGTGCTGGTCAGCACCAACTTCGCTAACTGAGAAAAAAAACAAGTTCGCTCGATTGTCGCACGACTTGTTTGGGTGGATATATTAAAAACCGAAAGGAATGAATACTCTCTCCTGAGAAAGAATCCATCCCATCAAAAACACCAGTGTGTCCTAACTCAGGCGGCTTTGTCGTAATTTACTGGAATTAAGGAACAAGACGATTCACACGTGAAGGTGAGACGGAAAAAACTGAGATAGCAGTACAGAGCGCACTAGGAGGGTAGCTCAATACCAGTATCTTGGACTCCAACGCTGTCTAGTCACGCTCGGCTGGATATATGCTGAAATGAACAAAGCTGTGTGAGCACTCATCATGTCACGTGACAATGCATGGGTCAGTCAGGAAGCGTTTCGATTGAAAAACGTTCCGTCTGATCAGTAAGCTTGAGGAAGGTGCATAAAACTCACCAAAATGTCACGTGATCAATCGAGATGCACACTCTTTTCCTGCACTCTGATAGCTATTTTAGTAGGGTACCTCAGATGCTTTGTAAACGTTACGGAATATCAATCAAACATGGGTTTGTCATTAGGTAATCTGAACCAATAAACGTGCAACTATGGAGGAAAGGGTAAATGATTTTGCTTGTTTTAAACACCAGATCAAATCGACTCATAATCAATATTTTTACGTGTCAGTATGCGAATCTTTGGCGAATATTCTCTAAATTTAACCCTGAAATACCCGCCAGAGGAAAAAGAAATCCGCGAGAATTACTGGTAGAGAATCTCCTGTCTCCCGCCAGAGGAAAAAGAAATCCGCGAGAATTACTAGTAGAGAATTCTCCTGTCTTACTCCTTAAAGTTGAAATTGCAGACGTAAAAAAAGATTTTTGAATTCAGTCGAACCTTCAAGATGGGAAATATCTCCTAATGTGGACAGTGCCTGATGGACTATACAGGGCACCCGAGGCGACATAAACGATCTGAATTTCAGATGCTATTCAATCGATATATGGTCCTACATGACAATTATTGCTGATCAGCAGCGTTTCTGTTGTGCCTGATGGGTGAAAACACATTCGATTCAGTGTTATATTCCTCCACAGGTACCGGTAACGACGTAGACGTAACAGAAGTGCAACCAGGACTTTCGAGTTGAGCAGTACTCAACTTCCGTTGGTCAATCATAACTCCAGCCAAGTAAGAGACATAATTCTTGGTTAATACCATACTAACGTAACCTTACCAAAAATATACTGTCCTGACAAATCCACGGCGTGAAAAAAATTGCGACCTCCCTTGCATGTGTTGTTCCAGTGCAACGGTTTCAAATTCGAACCAAGAAAAACAGACATTTGACGGATAAAAATTTAGGCCAGCAAAGACTGGAAACTAAATAGGCATCGGTAGAAGCTTTTATGGGTTCGCTCAATTCACGCTAAAGAGGAGACTTAGGTATTAAAATTTCTAGCTGGGGCAGTAAGATGATGACTGGAAGACAGCGCTTAACCGGTAAGCGAAGTTGTTTTAGTGTTGGCAATGGATTCAAACACCTCCTGCTTGATCTCTCTTCCACGATATTCTTCAACGGGATGTGCCGGATAGAAGCCGGTTCACGTCTCGGCTTGTACGATAATCGATATGTCGCAGCATTTTTTGACGGAACGCACTACTCATAAGTTGCTGGATACACTTGGACAGCCCAATTTTGTCCACTTTTCTTGGGGATCAAAAGATATGCTCAGTCTCCAAACTTCTGTCAACCTTATTTTCTACTCACAACTAAATTGTTGGCGGACTGTACTCATCTATGCAACTCCTCAACTGAATGCGCAACACATAGGCCGCCTCATAATTCATTTGAGAAAACATTCAAGGAAAACTAACAAAAATGTTTGTATGGCGATATGAAAAACAATCGGCGAACGTGTCTCCAACATGTAGCAGTTGATACGGACGTTCTACTTCGGTCACACCCTGAAGGAGAGTGGCTCCCAGGATGGACCGTATACTGACCTAACCATGAATGACTTTCCTCATGATGATCAAGTTACTCCCCCTAACTGCCTGACTAGTAGGTCGGTTACTGATCAGGTGATCGTAAATCTGATAATCGAGTTTGGCAGATCTCTTTAAAAGTTTCAGAAGAGCTTGGCAAACAATCGGTAGTTTTTAATTGGGCAACCAATCAGTACGCCCTCTTGAGATTATCACACTAGATCAGTGTTGAGCTCACTTGATAGCTCTTGTCGGTTAGTGTGGTTGCCAAAATCTTGCCTTAGTGGATTGGGGGAATTTCAAGCAGCGACTGAAACATGAGGCGGTCTGTTGCAGCAGATTCAGTTGCCTGGAGAGATTCAGCCGGGTTCCAGGTAAGTCTCTCGAACAAACCAAATTAGTTTGCAAATGAGTGTATTTGGCTGAATTTCAAGTTAATTCTGATCAGTTTCGTTTCCTTAATCTTCCACTTCAGGCTGCTTCAATTGATGATTCACCACGGGTGCCACTGGTAGATTTTCACTGATCTTCGTGTGCTTGTGAGTGTTACGACAATTTAGTTTGGAGGGGGGCAGACGAGGTCAAGTGGAATTCAAATGATGACTACTTCTGGTTTTCACAGAAGAGTCAATTGAATCTCTCGTTTATGATGCTCTTCAACTGAATGTGCTGCACACAGGCCGAAGAGTTTTCAGCAACCTTGTGGGTAGTTTCCTTTATGAAAATATACTGCGATATCTCGAACATCGTGCCAACTGAATCATGAAGCGGCCTGTGTGCAGCACATTCAGTTGGAGGACATCATAGACGAGAGATTCACTTGAGTCTCCCGTGAAAACCGAATTGATTTGCAAATGAGTGTATTTCTCGGAAACAGTGCAATTTGGGTTCAAGTAGATCATGAGGTTGACGGAAACTCGGGGACTGCGCCTACCTGATGAGCACCAAGAAGGGCAAAACCGGTCGTGGGCTGGCGAAGAGTTTTCAGCAACCTCGTGAGTAGTTTCCTTTATGACTACTCCTGCTTTTCATTACCGCACACCAGAACGTGTCGCTCAACTGACGGTCGTGGGCTGGCGAAGAGTTTTCAGCAACCTTGTGAGTAGTTTCCTTTATGACTACTCCTGCTTTTCATTACCGCACACCAGAACGTGTCAGCTCAACTGATCCAAAACCGTTCTCCACACGCTTGTCAGCTCCACGCCCTCTATTCTGAGAGGCTTGGCGATTTCTAACTCCTCGGCCATCAATCTCTGTGAAGTGGACCGTAGTCCTCGCCTAAAAACAACATTTTCTAAATCTATTCTGCGCCCCGTGTCCAGTTTGTGTTCCGCAATTGCGGCGGCCCATTTATTTTTATGTCATGTTCCCCGATTCTGATATGAAGTTCCCTGGTCGTGCAGTCGTTAAACTTAATTTTGTAGACACAGTTCCTGTTTCTCTTTGCCGGGAGGCGATCCTTCAATTGCACCAGTGCAGAGCGCAGAGTGTTTCCCCTCTGGAAAGCTACCCTTATGTTGGCAGTGTTTAGAATCGTTCGAATGACCTCCGATGTCCCTGGTTTATATGGAATAACAGCGGTCCCGATCCATTCCCTGTTGGGTTTCTTTACCGGTAGAAACACTCTTCGAAGTTGGCGCCCAGTCAAGCTAGCTGGATATCCACTACCCCGAAGTTTGTTCCTAACTTCTATTCGGGCCGCTGTGCGATCAGCTTCTTCTGTGCACAGAGCCCTTACACGCCTCAACATTGATGAAGCAATACTGGGAACACGGACTTCGGATGGGCAGGTGAGTAGTTTAAAACTACCCCAGTGTCGGTTGGCCTCTCGTACACCGTGGTCTTTAGTTTTTCCCCGAACCTTATGTCATGTAGCCTAAAAAGGCCAGTAGACCCGTGGTTGACCCTATCTCCATACTAAATTTGATCTGTGGGCTCAGTTCATTCAGATAATTGTAAAACTCACTGACCTTGTCTCGTTTCCTCACGAAGAAAGTCATATCTTTTAAACGTTTTCGGACCAATCGAGGAGACATCATTAATGCGCTACGCAGGCAAAGTTCGGCGAACAGATCAACAGCCATCTGGTTAACAACCGATCTCTGCTAACCAAACTTCAAACTTCGGTTACTCACTTGTCTCCCGGGTCAGTGAAACCTAAGTCATGATCACGGTGACAGCTTGGCAAAACGGTGTGGTTCCGTGGACGATTTGGCGTTGCTATTCAGTGCTGTCTAGCAGCCCCCCCTACAACTTGGGCCACGACGAACAGAAGGTGATACAGTAATAGACTGTGACTGCTACTGAAGTGTGTTGAGAACTCGAAAGGAGACTGCTCTCTTCGAGAAATACACTCATTTGCAAATCTATTTGGTTTTCACGAGAGACTCAACTGAATCAAACCACATTGATTTGCAAATGAGTGTATTTCTCGGAAACAGTGCAATTTGGGTTCAAGTAGATCATAAGGTTGACGGAAACTAGGGGACGGCGCCTGCCTGATGAGCCCCAAGTGGAAGGCGAAACCGGTCGTGGGCTGTCGACGAGTTTTCAGCAACCTTGTGAGTAGTTTCCTTTATGAGACTGCTCTCTGTTGCACTGGTAAACCGAACAAGCAAATCGTGGTCGACACAAAGTACAGGACGGGAATTTGGCCATTGGACTTACCAAATAAGAGAATTCATCCGGAGCGGGAAAGACACGCACGGCCTCTGTGAAATCTGCGTCAAAAAAAGAGTGAGGTTGAAGTAAACAGAGTCCATTGTATTGACCGCTTTGGAGATATTTGTTTATCCGCAACACATAACTATTATAGGGCTTCCACAATCAACTTGCGGGCGTTTAAAGTAAGGTTTACTTCGCACTTCGAATATCCAGTGAGGATCATTGCCTGACCTATGTGAACAGGGCTGAAAACATGAAACAGAAACCGTACACTCAGAAATCTGTTACGATTTCGCTGTATGAGTTTATGGCATGTGTTGAATGAAAGAACCTACTGAGTGTCGTTTCGTTCGGCAGTATGCATTTTGGAAGTACTGTGAAGGGGTTTAGATCACCCTCACATATCAAATAGCGCTTCTAGTTGTGATGTTATCCTTCAAGAGGCCAGTCAACGTGTGAGCGGTGTTTGAAGAACAGAGATGTGACTTCTGCTTTGTGTGTAAGTTAACTACAGTCGGTGCTTAGCTACTAGCAGGGGGATCATGGAGGTTTGAACTCCCAGCTCTGATGATCATCTACAAGAATGAACGGAATATACTACGCTTCCTGGTTTTTCAGCGTGCACCCTTCTTAACAAAATACGCATCACTTTCGTTTGACACAGTCCTTCTTCAGTCCAGCAAGTTTCAAGTTTCCGTAGACCACCTGCCTCGGAGTCCCTGTCATGCTGATCAATAAATCGATACAGCCGGGACCATTCGTGGGTCGTCGGTCAAACCATCGGGCAAACCAATCAAATCGCTTATACGCTAGCCTGTTATGATGCATTCAGCCTGCGCTAGTGGAGTACTGGTGGATACTACTGATGGGGCATGTGAGTAGTATGTTTTCTCGTCTCTTGAAAAGTGAAATGTATTACGGAATTTGCTTGCATTTGAGCAACAGTTAATGAATATCCAGGAAAGTTCAGGAAGACGCGTTCAGGGAGAAGATGGATATTCACTTTTTGTAAACAAGCTGCATATGAGAGTTTTGCTTCCCTGTTCAATAGTCTGTAACTGTTCACTTGGTATTTTCTAATAAATAACTACGCGGCAAAGGCCTTCTTCCTTTCACTCGTAGCTCGCTCCCCTCACAGTCCACATGAATGGAGCTGTAACCCTGGCATGGTCAAGGATATACAGTACTGGTGGGTTCTAATAGGAGGAATATTCCGGTCCAGTTCCTCCGGAACAGGCTGAAGATTGTTCAATCGATAGTGATGTGAACGTGACTTTTACAAACCGTGCAACCACACACAACCAGTGACTTGACTGAGTGATTGACTTACCGTGATACTTCCAGGAGACGATTGGGGCAATAAGAGCTCCGCAAGCGGGGTTCATTGGGATCCGATCGGCTCGCAGTAGCAGACCAGCCAGATGAGCGTTCATGCCCTGAAGATAAAGTTGGAAACAGAGACGTTGGACCAATTGTTTAGAATTTCATCAGGTTAGCCTCTGTCGCGACAGATATCAAGTATGACTGGAGTCACATCCATAATACGTTCGCCCATACAAGATGGTTCTGTTGGGAAAATATCAAGCATATATCGGGCTGTTCATCAACCCCGCGGGATCTGTGTGTTCTTTCGAATTTTAAGTCCCTAAACAGAAAAGCTCGATCCAACAAGGATAGATGAATTGTCTGTTTCAGAAGAGCCTGATATACAATCAGTAGTTTTTATTTGGGCAACGTTTCGTTTTTGACACAAAGGCTTCATCAGGCCAAGTGAGCAGGTCACCAAATTGGACAGGTTGTAAGACAGACGGGGAGCCGATCAATAAGTCAGTCCTCTTCAGATTATCACACTAGATCAGTGCTGAGTGCCAATTAATGGCTCTTGTCGGTTAGTGTGGTTGTCAAAATCTTGAATTGATGGGTTGGAGGAGTTTCAGATTAATCCTGATCGGGTTTGGTTCGTTACTCTTTCACTCCAGGGTGCTTCAGCTGATGATTCACCTAGGTTGCCAATGGTAACTTTCCCTTGACCTTTGTGGGTTTGTTAGTGCTCCGACAATTTAGTTTGAGAGGGTTTGAGATCAAGTGGAATTCAGGTGATGACTACTCTTCCTTCTGATGACTGCACACCAACACATGTCAGTTCGACTAATCCCAAACCGTTCTCCACACGTTTACCAGTTCCATACCTATTCTGTTAACACTGGGAGGCTTGGCGATTTCTACCGCCTCGGCAATCAGTCCGTGTGACATGGACCGTAGTCCTCACCTCAAAACCTCAACATTTGCTAAGTCAATTTTGTGTTCCGTGTCCAATGCGTGTTCCTCAACTGCCGAATCTTTCAGTAACACTGCGTTTCTCGGCGGCCTGTTTATTTTCCTACTGTGTAGTTCCCTGGACATCTGTCCTGTATAGACCTTGGTGACTTGGTGGCCTGCTCATTTGGCGTGATGAAGTTTTTATGTCGAAAGTGAAAAGTTGCTCAACTAAAAACTACTGATTGTTTATCAGGCTCTTTTGAAAAGATGACTTCTCAGTCGGTTCCGAACCTTTTTCAATTGATTGAATTGCTTGTTTCTCTAAAACACCTGAACGTCAGTCACTTTTACCCAAGAAGAATCTAATTGTAGGTTTCCATGCTCACCTCAAAAAGGGTACCAAATTGATACGGTTCCCAAAGCTTCGTTTTTGACTCAAGGTTTTGAATCAGCGTGTGGATAGCAACTTTGGTGAGTCGGCTTAATAGCCCCCCGATGCAGAACCGGCTTTATTCATCATTGCTGGGTAGACGCGCGGAATACGTCAAATCAGCTGTTTCCACTGCATTCAAATGTCTTATCACAAATGTCACATTGGAAAGAAATGATGTAGCCGGCGACATCGCGGCATCCCAATGATCAGGACAACCAGTATTTGATGATATCGAACAAAACTGACCACTGTGGACGGATAGTTACTGTTGACGTGTTTTGCAGGATCTTCGGCTGAGATTCACTGGATCCAGTTTTTATAGGAGACAATAAGATGAACAATACTGTCAGGTCCGATACATTTGAGGCATTCGAATTTGAGCTATGATTCCAGAAACTATCAAACGGAATTGGGAATATTTATCCTCTGTTGGAGCAAATGGTAGACGAGTTGTTCTGGGTTACAGAATAGATAAAGGTCAAGGACACCGGTTATAAAGTACAAAATCAAGAAGGCTGAAGTAACAAATCCTAAACGACTGAGCAATTTGGATCAGTCTGATCTAGTTAACAGTGAACCGGGCGAATTCGGATGCGATAGCTATGAGACATTGAAATCCATGCGATCACACACCATGCAAGCCGACAAAAAAGCTTTGCTATTCTTTCGATTCTTTTACAAATCAGAACTTACTTGGGAACCATATAAAGCCGTTTTATTTTTCTCCAGGTAATGGTACCTCAAAGTTCGATTTAGGACACTGAAAGAAAGAGGCAGAAAGTGGAGCACTCTGAAACACAAATGCCATGCCCGCAACCAAAATGCAAACGGAAAGCTTGTCTCATGGGTCTTGAAAGCTTGCTATTAACGACGAAAAAAAACTGGATAAAGAGTCTGACCTTGAAATTAGTAGAAGATAGACAGCACTGTCATTGTGGACTCAGTCTGCTGACGTGTTTGCAAAACATAACCTTGAAAGTGATCTGGCTAAATATTCGGATGGTAGCTGCAGGTCCAAATACCCAACTGTGCTGACTTAACCAAGTACATCACGGGATAGCGGAGCTCTCATTTGTATAAAAACAGTCTCGAAACTGCAGGTTAGTTTGTCCCAAAAGCATCTGGATGGAGTTCAATGTAGTTCCTTAAACAATTTTGGCACAAGGACGCGGTTTTTGAAATCTGCATAAATGGAGACTCGCACGAAACGGATCAACTGTAGGAATTTTCTAAAACAAAAACTCCCCCACATGTAAAGGTACGGATCTGCGGTTCCATCGCTAATCATGTAAACCAAAAGGCACTGAATAGAGTTCGCACCTGTAAGCCCGAGACACCTGTGGACGGATAGATGCGTTCTGATTCTTTCCCGTTAGTGTCCATATCATCATAGTGTGAGGTCATTTGTTTCACTAGGAGGACAGAAGCACTCGGAATGCATGGAAGGGTGAAAATTGAGAAAACTGAGCTATCTGGAGCAGGTGTAGAGAGGAATAGTGGACAGAGTGATCACATTAGCTCACTCATCTCTGGTACTCTATGATGATGGTTCAGTGAATTGAAGAAATCGGCCACTAAGCTGGGAGTCATTTGTGACTATTCGATGTCACTGAGTCGATCGGCGAACCACTGAACGTTTGGCTTACAGCTGACTACTCACTATTATAATCCCAACTTATGGCCGATAAAAAATCGACTTGGGAGCAGTGTAAACGAAGCGCCTTATCAGATTTCTACAGCATATCCCAGGAACATTTACTCACTCGAACAGAGCCTGGTAATTCTGTAGTTCACCATCAATGCCTCCTTGATGAAGACGGTTTTCAGCTTCTCCCGTCCAATGCTCTACTCGTATCACGACAGTATCTAATGAGGCGGCCATGAACACTGTCAGCTCCTCTGAAAGACGGTCCAGCTGGGATGAAGCTGGTGCGAGTTTGGAAATTCTGTTTCAAAACGGGGAGGGGTGGAGATATTACGAGGTCATTCATTAACAGTTTACATTTTAATCGTAACAACCAACAGGGAAAAGCGAAGGTTAGTTCAGATTCTATCACCGGACCCAGTCTCATTAGAAGAGTGCATACCCGGACGGAACACCAGGCCGAAGATTGTGAAAGCTTACCACAGACAGCAGAACTTTTGGAAATCTTCAAGTGAAATAAACTGATTTGCTTAGGGTTAGTAGTGAATCGGAGTTTGAAGGTCACCGGTTGCTTACCTGGAAGCCTGTCTGAACCCTTTCTGAACAAAAATTGGAAGTTGTTAAATTCGTATGCTGACGATTCATGTAACGACATGAAAAACTGCCACAAAGGAAGCTGTGCCGGTAGTTGGCAGACTAGCAGAATTATTGTTTCGCAGTGAATCACAGATGAACCATACCCAACGAGGAGGAATCCCACGCGGATCCCGCTTTACCGCTCGCAGTCAGGTGCTGCTAAGCCTGAGAAGCCCGTCCCACGCAAGATTGGCCAAAAGTTCGGGACGCTTGCCGGTCCGGCATCAGGCGGAGATCTGATTGGTCGAAAGTCTGGACCCAACAGCCAATCATGACCCAGTATTGGTCGAATGCTGGTTGCCAGTGGCACATGCAAAACATGGTCGAAAGCAGAGTAAAGCCTACCAGGAGTCTGATACGGCTTTGAGGGCATTTATTGCCTTTGGTAGAACCATAACTAAAGAAATAAGGTCTTATCCCTTCTGCCGTCGGACTAAGCTAGCTTCCTATAGTCAAGAGTCGCAGTGATAGGTCTTGGGCTCCAGTAAGCATCTCCTCGGAAAACCTTTACCGAAATATCTCTTATTACCTCTCGACAGAGTGAAACTGTAGTCTAGTGACATCCTTTCCGAATCAGATACGTCAAGCTGTAGGTTTTCGGGGTCAACGCTGTTGAACCTAACCGTAATAGAATTCGGTCTATACCGCTGTACCCCCCGTTAGGACGGGCTCAGACATGAGAAAAAGCACATGTGCAGAGAGTGATGCATCCCCAAGGTCACCATCGGTACGACACGTCCGGAAATTAGGTGAGTCGACGGCTCTCAGCAAACACGGCTTAGCAACATACGACCAGCGTAGTGGGCCTGAGAGTGTTCACGACCGGAACACCGCCATTGGCTGTACAGAACGAACAGGTGAACGACCATATTTGGCCATTTAGTCATCCCATATATTTACACAGGCGCTCTGTATGTTTTGTCCTGACAATACAGCCGTGTCCCGAGTTCTCTGTCTTCTCCCTATCGCGTGGTCTGGCAGGCTCAGTGCAGACGTAACCAACAGACGGCCACCCACGATACAACACCCCGAAGATGAAACACGCTTACTTTGTTTTACGGTTTTTCAGTACAGACTGTCTTAAATAGCGGGATAAAACTTCAATAGAGGACTAATTGAACAGTGGTTTTTGTCTTTGTTACTTGTGGATTAGGGTGCGTACGGAATTAACATCACGACTGTTAGCTCAAAGACATCCACGACGTATTTATCTTGTCTTATTCAATTAAGTCAGACGGAGGAATAATTCACGCGATAAGTGAAAATTCTATCTGACAAGTCGTGANGTTTGGAAATTCTGTTTCAAAATGGGGAGGGGTGGAGATATTACGAGGTCATTCATTAAGAGTTTACATTTTAATCGTAACAACCAACATGGAAAAGCGAAGGTTAGTTCAGATTCTATCGCCGGACCCAGTCACATTAGGACAGTGCATACCCGGACGGAACACCAGGCCGAAGATTGTGAAAGCTTACCACAGACAGCAGAACTTTTGGAAATCTTCAAGTGAAATAAACTGATTTGCTTAGGGTTAGTAGTGAATCGGAGTTTGAAGGTCACCGGTTGCTTACCTGGAAGCCTGTCTGAACCCTTTCTGAACAAAACTTGGAAGTTGTTAAATTCGTATGCTGACGATTCATGTAACGACATGAAAAACTGCCACAAAGGAAGCTGTGCCGGTAGTTGGCAGACTAGCAGAATTATTGTTTCGCAGTGAATCACAGATGAACCATACCCAACGAGGAGGAATCCCACGCGGATCCCGCTTTACCGCTCGCAGTCAGGTGCTGCTAAGCCTGAGAAGCCCGTCCCACGCAAGATTGGCCAAAAGTTCGGGACGCTTGCCGGTCCGGCATCAGGCGGAGATCTGATTGGTCGAAAGTCTGGAACAGCCAGCCAATCATGACCCAGTATTGGTCGAATGCTGGTTGCCAGTGGCACATGCAAAACATGGTCGAAAGCAGAGTAAAGCCTAGAGTCTGATATTGGTCGAATGCTGGTTGCCAGTGGCACATGCAAAACATGGTCGAAAGCAGAGTAAAGCCTACCAGGAGTCTGATACGGCTTTGAGGGCATTTATTGCCTTTGGTAGAACCATAACTAAAGAAATAAGGTCTTATCCCTTCTGCCGTCGGACTAAGCTAGCTTCCTATAGTCAAGAGTCGCAGTGATAGGTCTTGGGCTCCAGTAAGCATCTCCTCGGAAAACCTTTACCGAAATATCTCTTATTACCTCTCGACAGAGTGAAACTGTAGTCTAGTGACATCCTTTCCGAATCAGATACGTCAAGCTGTAGGTTTTCGGGGTCAACGCTGTTGAACCTAACCGTAATAGAATTCGGTCTATACCGCTGTACCCCCCGTCAGGACGGGCTCAGACATGAGAAAAAGCACATGTGCAGAGAGTGATGCATCCCCAAGGTCACCATCGGTACGACACGTCCGGAAATTAGGTGAGTCGACGGCTCTCAGCAAACACGGCTTAGCAACATACGACCAGCGTAGTGGGCCTGAGAGTGTTCACGACCGGAACACCGCCATTGGCTGTACAGAACGAACAGGTGAACGACCATATTTGGCCATTTAGTCATCCCATATATTTACACAGGCGCTCTGTATGTTTTGTCCTGACAATACAGCCGTGTCCCGAGTTCTCTGTCTTCTCCCTATCGCGTGGTCTGGCAGGCTCAGTGCAGACGTAACCAACAGACGGCCACCCACGATACAACACCCCGAAGATGAAACACGCTTACTTTGTTTTACGGTTTTTCAGTACAGACTGTCTTAAATAGCGGGATAAAACTTCAATAGAGGACTAATTGAACAGTGGTTTTTGTCTTTGTTACTTGTGGATTAGGGTGCGTACGGAATTAACATCACGACTGTTAGCTCAAAGACATCCACAACGTATTTATCTTGTCTTATTCAATTAAGTCAGACGGAGGAATAATTCACGCGATAAGTGAAAATTCTATCTGACAAGTCGTGACTCCAGAAGCCTGTCAATACGTGACCACGTGATATGGGTTCTGCGGTTGACGGATGAGTGGTACCATAACCTTTCCAAGTGTGAGTGAGTCACAACGCTGATCAGCCGTTCATGGTCGAACGTTGCGGGAGGTTGCGGATTTGAGACTCGTTGGTCTATCACGTGGTCGGCTCCACTTCCAGGACGAAATATTCACTGAAAATTACCAGATATATACACACTACTTGTAGGTAGTTTGAAGTTTCAGTCGGGATTTGAAATTGTAGTTGAAACTGCAAAGCAGCCGATCATTCCTACCGGGAATCACCACAAGACAAGGGACCGGTCACCGAAGCTATCATCACCATCAGTGGCTGTGATGCGTGTGACTCATGTAGAAAACAGAGGCTGAGTTGGTCGCTGGAACCAGTCAAGAAAACATTTTGCGTAAATCCACATGTGACAGGAGTCCAAAATGGTGAAACATACGGCCGTATCGTTTGAGTGTTGTGGTGATCATGAGGCATACATGATCGGTTTCAGGTACAGAATGAGCGATACTCTCATCTCTGCTTTGTTTCATTTTCGTAAGGTTGTCGAATGTCTGTCGCAATACGTGACTCAGCATACCGAGGGGATGTCTTGATACGAGCGGCCAAGGATGGAACAACCTATCAATACGGCTAGGGACACTGTTTGGACATTGAATAAAGTGATTAGGTGACGGGTCTCGACGAACTGACACACTGTAGAAAACCTCCCAGCGGAGAGTATTCAGAAACGTCCAAAGACGACGGACTGTGAATTAAGTTGTCTACTAAAACAAACAACCCGATACGACCAACTGTAGGCGAAAAACAGGTTTCTTAAACTTACACATTGACCAAAAGAGGATAATGCTGTTGATTGCCCTCGTTCAAATAGGGTGGGAACCAAAAACGGACAACCGCCCCGTCTTTGATAGGTTCATCTTCATCGATTAGTGCAGTTGTACCTTTGTCGGCGTTCTCCACCAAAATGTCTGTCTGTCTCAAATTGATATGCCTCATAATTACGTTTGGCATCGGGCGATCTCCAAAAGGTGGCTCGGGATAAAGCATGTGCAGGGGGAGTTGAGTAGCGTTGAGCAACTTGAATTTGACTTTTGTGTGATACGTGTTTGTTGGGAGCTGGTGCTGTTTGGCGGATTTCGTGTTCTGGGTGTCGTGTGAGAGCGTGTCCAAAAGGCGTAGATTACGTCGAAAAGCTGTGGGAACGTTTGAAAGGTATTGATCGGCTGTCCAGTTGCTTTTCAAAGCCGGATCAATGACGTAGTGACTGTGCCACACTAGATATACTGAAATGGGAAAAAGAAATTCATAGATGTGGAGGTTAAACCATGGCACCTGTTGTAAAACCTGCTACATCGCCACGTACTCATGACCTCAATTCGCCTGGTGACGAAGAGTTCAAAAGAACATTGATGAAGGATTCAGCCGTTGAGTTAAAGAGGACAATCGCATACCCTTTCTGCCGTGTTTAATCCACAATGACATGTGCCTAATTTATTCGGGTATACCTCCCCTCGCTAGAGCCGAGGAACCTATATGTTCCTTGCACCTCAAAGTATCCAAATGATGCCCACTGGCCTCCGTCTCCAAGGTCACAGGCATTCGGGGGATGCTCTCATCTTGCTAAGGCGAAATGAGAATCACCAATAATCCTGATGACTTACCATAAAGCTTTTTCATACAAAACAGCTAAGACAACCATTGTCAGTTGGAATTCGGAAGTTAGAAGATAATTCTATAGATTGTAGAGTAAGAAGCCAGGGCACATGTGGAATGAACGAAAAGATAAGTCTAAGGGACGAGTCTGTTGCGAAGTCCATAACTGTGACAGACCGAAAGTGTCCTCGGTCAGTAAAGAACCCGTCCACTTCATCCTATCCTTCAGTCAGCCATCGGTGTACATGTAGTATATCTAGCTTGTCGGCTAAATCCAGTCTATCGGGTTTATTTGTACTACAAACCCTTGGATAATAAGCCTGGTTTTAAACCATGGAACACTCCCACTGTGGTGTCCCCTCGTTTTGAGCGGACGAACCGTTTGAGGTGCCAGGAAATATGTCCTATTTGGTCCTGTCACTAAAGTACGCGGATGAAATTGAGTTCACTGCAGGATGTAAAATTGCATATTGTACTTGACTTACATCCACAATATCTGTATGGAGGCCAGCCGTCCCTAATAACCGAATATCACATCATTTGGACGGATGTGTCAAGTGCGGGACACGGACCAAGCGAAGGCATGCCCTGATTGGTCAGAATGCCAACCAATCCGGATCGAGCACCTTTAACTCGACGCTTCCCGCCCCCTCAAGGAAATTCAGACATGACCTTATGAAACAGTGTGACTACCCTATAAATACAGTTGTAATAATTTTCCTTTCTCCCCATAATGGACTGTGTAGAGCTACCGTGCCTTTTGATAAACCATAGTGGGCGGAGCAGGAAGCCAAGGGACCGATACAGAGTTGCACCACCATTCAGCAAGACACAACAATATCTCTTTGAAGTTTGTGGTAGTGAAACTTGGTTGGTGAAAAGCACATTTTACATGAGCAATGCGGACAACTAATCTCATATTCACAGTTCAGGAGCCTGATTAAACGCGACTTGTATGCAGGACTCACTGAGAACCTGAGATTTTTCGTAAGCGGGTCACGAAGTTTGCAAGCGAGCTGACTGCTGAGTTGGATGGCACAAAGTTTCCCTGTGAACAGTGTCAACCAAGAGAGGGTACCTTCAACACTACATCTGGGGCAAAAGTACAGAATGCAGACCGAAATTTCAAGCTGCTGATCTCATAAACTCACCTGATTACATTCGATCAATTAATTTAGAACCCGGTTCTACACCAGGTGGACGTTAGCCAATCAGTACACAAGCAAGCAGGCTATCTAACAGTACTTCAATAGAAAGCGACTAGTCAGGCCTGGCTAACAAGCAGTACGTAAACCTGAGTCCTCAGCGTGAGTCCACTGACGCAGATCCCATCACCTAATTGTAACGCACTGAAGATGTCACCTCGACCGGGGATGAAAAGCCGATATTCAAACTCATTAAACAATGGTCATATTTGGAACTATCTGGCAAGGTATGTACTTAGTTCATCCTGTCATTGCTGTCAGTCTAAACCGAAAGACTCAGAGGAAGAATAACTTCACAGGATGAGTCCTCACTCTGACCACGTGATGTGGTTTACTTGACTGAAGCATGAGTGGCGCTGTGTCATGGCTAAATGCGAGCTGATCACTCTGCTGTTTAGCTGCTCGCGGCCAAATGATGAAGCGTTCAACCACTGGCCGAAAGGTCACGGGTTCAAAACCACCTCGAGTTTCGTGAGATGTCATCCTAAGAAGGATGGAACAGCTGAACAGTGCTTCTCGCCGTTTCACCACAAATTAGCTTCGCTGACGGGATAAAACCGCCTTCAAAAATTATTAAATTAGTAAATCAGTCAGGAAGGTGAACAGGAAGCTCGGCAACTCACCGTGTTTATCATACTGTCTCGAGCGGCACCACAGACTGACTCCAGAATCCGGGTCAAATCGAACTTTAGGCTCCAACATCGGTTGTCCGGTCTCGTTCGCATTGAACCCAGCTCCAGTGAGTTGATTGATCATCCATTTTGTAGGCGCTTCCTTAACCCCCGAGGCACCAAACGTTTCGTAGCCCGTAGACCATTGTACGGTGAAGCAACGACCGTTTGCTGAAGTTCCAACTTTTTGAACGGATCGATAGGCGGTTTGCTTGTTTGTATTCCTAATGGCAATGCTTGAGCTCGCTGTGACCGATTCGATGGTGATATTTCTGGACGCATTTGTAGGATAAGCAAGGATGACGTCGGTCATCAGTTCACTTAATTCGTTGCAGGTTAGACAGAACAGTGAGCCCGTATTTCGCTGATCCAACCTGGTAAATTGGCGACGGGGGTGAACAGTACCCAGAAATCGTAAAGAAAATGTTCGGCAGCAGCAGGATATCAACAGTTTAGACACCTCTTTGCATAGTTAACCACAAAACAGTGTTTGAAAGTGCAAACCGTTAGGCGTTTGCAAGAGATACACGAAGTTTGGAGTTTGGCTGGTAATTAGAACAGATTTGAAATTCCTCATGAGGACTAAAGGACTAGACAATAAGCTGACGATCGCCTGATACAAGACATTTTTGGCGAAGCACATCCATTTTCCTGCCAGTTTGGTTTTAATGAGTGATGACACAAACGAATCCGAGCTGAATATCTTATTCATAGTGTCCTCCAACTGAATGTACTACACAAAGGTCGCCTCGCGTCTCAGCTAATAGGACATTCGAGATACTGCAGTATATTTTCATAGAGGAAACTATTCATAATGTTGCTGAATGTTCTTCGACAGTCCACCACCGGTTCTGCCATTCTTGGGGCTCATTTAGTAGGCCCAATCTCCTTCAGTCAACTTCATGTTTTGCTTGAACTTGACTCTGGCAAATTTCGACAAGTGCTTTCAGTTGTACATGGATTCGGTTTTGACAGGAGACTTTATTGAACCTCAGCCAAATATCTCTTGTTTACGATGTTCTTATCAAATGAAGGTCCTGCACCAGGCCGCCTCATATTCCACGAGAAATGTAGCATATCTTCTTGATGGAACGCCACTAAACTCTTCTTAGCATTGTAGTACGTCAATACGACGTCGGAAGGGGGAACATTATCATACATCCACTACAAGCTAACCTGTTTTGTCATATATCTAGAGAAGAATCACGTGACCGTCACTTGCGTCTCTTGGTAATATCATATGGTGAGTTGACCACTCTATCCATAAACAGATGTGAAATCTGAAAAAAAGAACATCTAAATTCTGGGAGTTTGATGACCTTCAAAGCAATATTTCACAAGTTTTATTTTTATTTATATAGCAAATGTCTACATATTCATAAGTTGTTTTAAGAGGCCATGCAAATCTGGTTCCCTGGTACACTCCACAGTGAGGACCACTACCATCTCGGCACATCCTCTCACATCTGAAGCAACCTTGTGCGTAGTTTCCATTATGAAAATACACTGTGATATCTCGAATATCGTGCCATTTGAAACATGAGGCGGCCTGGTGCAGCACGTTCAGTTGCAGAATATCATAAACGAGAGATTCGGTTGAGTCTCTCGTGGAAACCAAATTGATTTGCAAATGAGTGTATTTCTCGAAAACCGTCCAATTTGGGTTCAAGTAGATCATAAGGTTGACGGAAACTCGGGGACTGCGCCTACCTGATGAGCCTGAATTGGAAGGGCGAAACCGATCGTGGGCTGTCGAAGAATTTTCAGCAACCTTGTGAGTAGTTTCCTTCATGTGGGAAAGAACTGTGGGTTGATTCATTTATATTACAGGGGAAAAAGTGCTGCCACATATGGGCACTGACCTACGACACGCAACACCCCCGAGGGTTCTGTTTGAACTCAGAATTGTTCTCATGCAACCAACCGAATTATGCGTATAATGCTAATACGCTGTCACAATTGAGAAATACGGTATTGCCTCAGTCGAACTCTCTCTGGAAGTTCTATCAACCTCGGATTGTATTTATCCATCCTTTGTTGGGAGTGGTAAAAAAGTACAAATGAACAGAGAGTCTTGGACGATGGCTCTGCTACTGATCACAATCCATCTTCGTTGTTGGTTAATCCACGGTGGTGATGACATCGACATAGGTATAGCCACAAAAAATCCAGGCCTGCGTTTTCAGAAAGATCTGACTGTGATTCTATGTTTAATCCGGGGTTCGGACTGAATTACAAACATCGTAGCCACTCCAATCGGCTTTTGAGTGTTTCATGGTGCAAATCTGTATTCCATATACCACACGGCTCAGTGAGACATGACAACACGTTATGAAATTTGTTTTCTCCTATCGGCATCTACGACTACTTTTAGTAGCCTCCCTCGGGGGTTAGTGGTTACGAAACTTGGGAGCCCAGAAAGACCTGAGCTAAGAGTCATTCGGACCTGGCTCTGGTCAATGAGGCTAAGATTGTTTACAATTATCTCTGTAAGCAGCACATTTTCTGACTACTTAAGCAAAATGAGTAGCAGTTCCAGTTGATGTAGGTCACCACTGGACACTGTCCCTGTTGCAGCTTCATTTTTCCTCTCTTTGACTGGAAGAATTTGCGCAATCAAATTGACATGACTGCCGCTACCAAGGCCACTTGAGTAGCCCGTGTGTACCATGTCAAGTGGTGACCAATTTAGGTTCACCAAGAAGATAAGGTTGACGGAAGCCTGGGGACTGTGCCTACCTGATGAGCTCCAAGAAGGTCACAGGCTGTCGAAGACTTTTCAGCAACCATATGAATAGTGTGTAACGTTCATACGAAAACCCAAGTCGTCTTTAGAAGTTTTGGTTAGAATCCTTCTCGGGAATGGGATGAGGTGCGCAGCTGATTACGAGTGTTATGCTTACCGGTGTGAGTTAATTCAGTCTTGGAAAATGAAACACGGAACGCCACAAGAGTAAAGCTTTACCGGTATAAGTGTCGAATTCCCGGTTGAAATGAACCAGTCACATGAATGGATTCATCATCCGAATGCACCAACTGGTTCACCTGGAACGGATATTCGGTCAGCCAAGTAACACGATTTTTCTGGTTAGGTATAATCTGTCACGTGATTAGAGAGAAGCGAAAGAAAGCATATCAGCTTGAGAGTATAAGAGAGAGACAATTTAAAAAAAAACGGCAACTGGTGCTTGATCTTGCCTAAATGTGTGTCGATCAAACTGCTGACTGGCCGGTCTTAGTTAAACAGTTGAGCTTCAACTGCGAGGCGGTACTTCGCGGCGCGGGTTTGTGATTCCTTGGGGTTTCGTGAGATGCGCACTGCTGATGATTCCCAATAAAGGTGAAATATCCGCGCACTACCACTCGGATTTCCTGCTTAGGTTAGTATCGCCTACACGAAAAAATCTTTCAACTCACATACTATCAACCGTGAGAGAGCCATTATGATTGGTCAGGAAATGAACCCAAATCGATTGGCCTATCGATTGGCCTATCGACATTCCGTGGGAAGTATGCAGTGTGTGAGTTTCTGGTGAGCACTAATCGAAAGTGGAGAGATATCGTTTAAGTGGATGGAACATTTGACAGTATGGAGTTTCAAAGCGTGGCCACGCTGCGGCAATAGAACAGACTTCGTCAGGGGTATTGGAAAGGCCAGAAGTGTTTTTTCTTACTGTTCAAGCTGGAAGCGTCAGCTGACCTATTATTGGCCAAGGCATCTTTTAAAATGGACTGTTAACGATCCGAAAAAAGTAACCTCGTCTTCATCGATGGAGGTAGTTTGAGGAAGACGAAAGAGTTCAGTGAACAGCCGTTTTCGAAAGAGTGACTTTCTCAGATTTTACTGTAGGATGAGCCGATTCATACATGCATGTATTCGTCGAGTGAAATGTCAGGCAGTAAGCGATCGCCTCTGACTGGCAAATGTGAACGCCTTCACTAATCGAAAAAGCAGTGAAAAAGACACACTGACAGGTAATTTTAGGACAACGTTTCTCTCCTACACTCGTTATCCTGTGATCTATAATACCTGGGGTTCAAATGTATAAGTAATACGTAAGTAATACTTGAGACAGCCGACTTAGCTACCGGGAATTTTCGGGAACAAAGTCTACAACGAATCGAGGGGCTTTAGTTGTTCTGCCGATGTCCAGATGGTGATAATAACTGGGGCCAAGCTCGGCGAACAAACCAACAATCAATAACTGTAGCGGCAAAGTTTCTGAGTTCTGATGTCACCACTATGTCATGAGGCGTCGTAAAAAACGGTGTGAAGTGCGCATTGGTCCCCAAAATATTGTCTGCCGAAATGTATGTGGAATATGAAATGGCATCAATGAAAATCAATTAACGATTTCTGATGGATGAAGGCGTGCATCAGTTCCGTGAAAGCAGGTCCTTCGTCTATGGGATCGGAAAATAAGGCCGAATTCTTCAAGAACGAGGGCGACTTGAATATGAATGCAAGACACGCTGATATACTGCTCAGAGTCTGTCCCCAAAGATAAGAAATTGAACACTTGTATATAAAATCTTACCCGTAGGACGGCGAGCTGATAAGTGAACCCGTTGGACGGAGCAACATAGGGCAGGATTGTCAAAACCTCGTTTTCGCGGCCATACTTGAAGAACAGGTTGCCGCTGACAGATAATCGGTGCTGCATTGCATAGAAAAGTGAATGTTAGTCTAGAATCCAGTGTGTTGAAATACGGAAGTCAAAGCACTATGCAACAAATAGGGGAGCCGGTACTTCGACCAAGGCATTCTAGAGTGGGATAAAATGCTCCCTGGAAACCTTGTAGAAAGGTGAATATGTATGCTGGTTATTCAGTACCCCTTGCCGCTGTGGGAATAATGGCAACATTCTCAGTGAGAGTGAGCACTGCAGTTGGGTAGGTGTTCGTTCACGAGCTATCAGCTGATTGGTGTATTGATCGGATGCTTAGTGCCGGTTGTTGAGCACCGTATTGGGTGTCATGGACCTGGTTTTTCGCAGAATTGCTTGGAAAATACAAATAAGCATTGTGGAACTAATCCGGCCTATCGAAGAAAACCAGGAAATCTAATTAAACGTGTAGTTGTTACTTGCCATTCGATATTTCATCACAACAATTGCCCGTCGTCCAGCAGGCCGCAAATCGCCACACAACCGCGGACTGATCATGGTCGACCACCAGGCTTGACAACTCAGCTGATGATCTACCAAACCACCAAATTAACTCAACCTTTATTGCTTAGATTTTTGGGGACCGGATTTCAAATGAATTTTGGAGGTGGTATTTTGTTGGTCGTAAGATCAATCCAATAAATAGTTGTGCTGTTACGGCCACTGAACACTGCTCATACGAGCGTAAAATGAACGCTTCAGCACAAACTTATGGAAGAAATTCCCTCCTGGTTTTCTAACCGAATAGCTGCGAAGTGAATTAGTCTACCGGGAACATGGCTGAGCCGGGGAGTATCTCCACTTTCCAAGTTTGTACCAACACGCTAAAAATGGGGTTTGATTCGAACGTTACATGACAGATGGAGTAAAACGGGCTATGCAGAAGTTGAGGAGTAGTTAGTTTGTACACATATCCACGGTAATTTGTATCATCCTTCGGATGAAGAAAGAACTGTCCTAAAATCATAAGTCGGTTTGCCTGAATGCTGGATTCCAAGATGGCCTTGGTGAGCCGGTGGAGCGGCTTTTACCTTCAGCCAGTGTCTGATACGTGCTTCACATTGACATTCTCCTGGTATTCCAACATCGAAAAACTCCTTGTTCATCATTTCTGCAGAATGCAGCGGGATACATACTGTGTATCGCGCAATGCTTTATTTCGTGTGAAATGTGTGGGGAGTAGTTTACTGCTCAGACGTACTACTGAAATGACTAAATAGAAAGAATCCTGAAAATTCCCGTCGGCTCAAGTACTCCTTTGTCTCTCGGTTTGAAGGTCCAACAATTGAGACCACATTTGGTTGACTGATTTGTGAAAAATCTCAAAACCGATGCCCTCTATCACAATAACTTGTTTGGCTAGTTTTTGCTGCCAGAACTCTCTCCTTATGTGAAAATTTCGTTGTAATACAACGCACGAGACAAGTTTCTGTTCTACTCACTGGGTCGCTGATAACTCTCTACGGGTTACTATCGCTTTTAGCGAATATACACTCATTTGCAAACCAATTTGGTTTTTCGACAGACTCACCTGAAACCCCGCTGAATCTCTTGTTTGCGGTGTTTCCAGGCAACTGAATGTGCTGCACCAGGCCGTCTCATGTTTCAGTTGCTATGATATTCGGGATATCGCGATACATGTACATCTTTGTAATGTACTACTCATAAGGTTGCTGAAAATTTGCTGAGAGTTTTTCGACAGCACACGACCGGTTTCGCCCTTCTTGGGGGCTCATCAGGTAGGCGCAGTCCCCGAGGTTCCGTCAGCCTTATGTTCTACTTGAAAACAAATTGCACAAAATCAGCGAAATACACTCAATTGCACATTCAGTTGCCTGGAAACATCACAAACGAGAGATTCAGCTGGGTTCTAGGCGAGTCTGTCGGAAAACCAAATTAGTTTGCAAATGAGTGTATTACGTTAATTTCGTGTAATTCGGTCTCAAGTGGAACATAAGGTTGACGGAAACTCGGGAACTGCGCCCACCTGATGAGCCCTAAGAGGGGCGAAACCGGTCGTGGGCTGTCGACGGATTTTCAACAACTTAAAGAGTAGTACATTACAAAGATACCATCGGTTTTGTTCTTTTGGAGGCTTGTCAGGCTGCTGTTCGTTACCCCAAGACATTAATAGATCTGTCATCGTGAGCATGTTCTAATAAACAAGTGTTCCGAGACGGGCCGCATCAATGATTCGAGACATTGTAAAATATGGTCCAGTCGCGTTCTCAATGGCGTTCTTGCATCCATAGCTTCCTTCCCATTCAACCGTTCACTGTCAGATCTGTATTTACGCAACAACTTATCAGCTCCTACCTCCGATGCTCAGCTAGCCACCTCATCTCCCCAAACCATCGGTGAACGAAACTGAGGCAGCTAAAACCACTGTATGACAAGTACGTGGTTCTTACAGATCATAATGACGGTGATGACGACGGTTTTGGAGATCAATGGTAGCCATATGAAGCTTGGAAACAAGAGGATGACAGGATTTGTTGGTCGATGGCTTGGAAAGGTACGACCAGCACCGAAATCCGGAATATTCAACGAGGAAATCGTTGATGTTGCGTAAAATGCTGCTGGTAATTACTGAACGGTCATTGGAAATAGCATTGGAAATAGCATTATAATTGTACAGTCCGGCTAAACTCACCATATTCAACCAACCTAATTCAACGCATTGATACCATACCTGAAATGGAAAGGAGGGTAGATTAAAACATAACCTCCATAAAAAAATTAGTTAGTGGTTCATTCACCGACTGGAGCAATAAGGCTGCAGATATGGCTGTTCAGATAAGCGAGAAAGCACGACAAGGGGGGCGGTATATCTTCGATAAACACACTCTTCACCTGGTTTTATTTTGGTCAGTTTTTCATTTATATCTTACTTCTTGTTTCAACGTTTATCAACCCTGGCTCAGATAGTTGGGGTGATTGAAAAATTCCTCCGTTTTACCTTCTTGTTGGGAATCATGAACAGTGAACATCTCACGAAATTGCACTAAGAAGTTTCGAACCCGTGACCTTCCGGCTAGTGATTGGTCAATTAACCAATCGCTCTGTAGTGGCTAAACATGAAGCAATTCATATTCGTGACGCACTACTCATAAGGTTGCTGAAAACTCCTTGACAGCCCACGACCGGTTTCGCCCCCCTTAGGGCTCTTCGGGTAGGCGCAGTTCCCGAGTTTCCGTCAACCTTATGTTCTACTTACTTGCAACCAAATTGCACGACCTTAGCGAAATACACTCATTTGCGAACTAATTTGGTTTTTAGAGGGACTCACCTGGAACCCAGCCGAATTTCTCGTTTGCGATGTTTCGAGGCAACTGAATGTGCTGCATCAGGAAGCCTTATGTTTCCAGTTGGTACGATATTCGAGATATCGGAATACATGTATATTCGTAGCGCACTACTCATAAGGTTGCTGAAAATTCGTCGACAGCCCACGATCAGTTTCGTCCTTCTTGAGGCTCATCGATTTAGACTGAAAACTGTCAAATCTCCTTACACAATCATCAATCAATAAGTGGTTTAGAGGAAGAACGACTCCATAAAGTGTGTAGGACTTGCACTTTAGAACTCGTCACCCGTGGAGCAGGCCATACGTGATCATGTGAAGCAGTTTCGGTGATTAGAGTATGAGCGACGACATATCCTGTCCAAGTGAAATCCAACCACACTGCTATTCAGCCATCTCCCGGAGCCTAACGGTTTCGTGTTCAACCACTCGGTGGAAGGTCGCTAGTTCGAACCTTTCTGGATTTCGTGCGATGCACACTGCCATTGAAGCATCTATAAAGTGCATCTTGACTTCTTAGCATATGCTGGCTTCACCTTCGGGATCACTATGGAAAATGCCAGGAGATGGGCTTNCCTTCGGGATCACTATGGAAAATGCCAGGTGATGGGCTTCTTAACCCAGCTCAGGGATTAGCGGGAACAATGTATCGAACATAGCTTATTCCAAGGATAACCATCAAACCAGGTTGGGTGAAAATGTTTGCTTTGTCACTTCTCCCTTCTGACACATTTAGTCCTGTCTCCCAAAAAGCCTCAACCACTACACGGGATCACGTGACCACTATACACCCTAGCTATATTAGGAATGATGCGACCTAGGGAAACCTTGGCCACTAAAATGGACTTTATTGGTAGCGCGCATTTTCAATGAGATTTTTGGCGTATCCTAAGATATTTTTAACTGTCAGTAGAGGTGTGATTTCTTAGTATTATGGAAGAAGTAATTCGACACACACAGGGTGACAACAGGACGGCCACACCGACACATACCAAGCTGTCTTGATATGCTGTATGAGTACGCAACTTAGACCACGGAAACGAAGGGTTGGGTTTATCGGCTGTGTAGGTTTTTGCATTTGCCTCCGTACTCCAAGAAGAACACGAAATCACGCCTGTAGTCAGTTAAGGAAGGAATGAAGACAGCCTTTACTGTTTGCTTTGCTGCTGTTATAAACACATTCCAACGGTGGTTCGCCAAGCTTGTCGACTGCCTTGTAAACGTCTGGTCACCAATAGAGGCGACTTGATCGGTGGGTAAGTTCCCCTTGCCTGCTTCAGTTGATATTGTTTTCAAAGACTAGGTGATACTCATTGCTGTGATTGGCTGAGTGGGACATGAATTCCTCGGAATCCCATTGGCTCGATTCCAAAGGTGTCACGTCTGGTTTTGCAATCTATTGGTGCGTAAAGTAGCTTCTATGCGAGGGCTCTTTGTTTCTGTTCTGATTGGTCGATTGCGTGATTTCGTTCTACTGTGATCAGGCCTTCCTTCATTTACTTGATTGCTACGGCTGTTCCTATTTTTGGCAGTTCACTTTTCTTGATTGGATTTATTCGTTTTGAGCCAAGGCCAAACAGTGTTACTCGCAACATCCCACATAAATTTTTATAAAGAGGTTAATATGCGCCGAATTTCCTGGATTTTAGCAGTCATAAAAGAATGGCAGTTCATGGTTAGAACGGAGGTGCGCTTGGGGGGGGGGGCAACTCGAAGTACTTCAAACTGTAGTTTGTTTCCTCCATGCGTTGAATTGTGCAGATTTTGTAGCATTAATGTATGCAGGTAGCTGGATGTTCCACAACGCCGTTGGGGTAAAGTGACTGACCTGAGACATTGCTAGCCGATCGATCTACGAGCTTGTGCGTTTTATGTAGTGGTTACGTGCCTGATCGATTGCTATTCCAATAGTATTTACTCGTAGGTCGTTCAGTATCGTCCATGTCTGTGACAGGACCCGACTTGTTATGCTGATCTCTACAAACCGTTAGCCTGAGGGTCCTACAAGACTAAAGCAACAAATGGCAGGGCCAGACGTTGTACTGTACTGGGCAGGCGCAAGTAAGTTAGATGAGTCGATGAAGGCTTCTAAACCAAGAAGTCAGCAGTAATATGAGTCCCCTGCTGATCCACAGTGATCAGTTTGATTAGTCTAACTAATTTTCCACCGAGAACTGTCAGTTCGCATGTACATTGTCCAGTTTACACCTTGAAAACGTTCTCTGATGCACTTGCCTAAATGAACTGTTTGTGTAAAATTTGCTTACAAGCTGTAGCCGAAAATTTCAAGTTCCCAATCGGAGGTTTCTGAGGCGCATTCTCCAGGAAAAGTCAACCAGTTTAAAATTTAGAGTGATGCAGCTGTTTCAAATCGAAATAATGGGAAAATTCGTTTCTAAAACTACTGTAAGAAACGCAAAAGCCCCGGGCTTATGTTCTTCAATCAACGTTTTGTCACCATTTGTCCGGAGGCCCTCCGGACATTAATAATTTACTGTTATTATTATTAATTTATTAATTAATTTGCGAGGTGAGATGGTGGGAATGAGGGAATTTTCATCTATCGCTCAGAACAGGTGCCAAGCAGAGGCAACTCTGAACGAGGCCCAAGACGTCTTGGCAAATATTACGTAGAAGGTTGATGCGTTCGCACCAGTCTATCTGTATGAACTTACATACTGACATTCCACATCTGGCATTCGTGAAAACCACTGGCAGAAAGTAATAAATCCGCACTTTTGCGTCTCCGACAGTCCCGTGACGAGGAACCCGGTCGCGTTGAACCATTGAACTCGGGTTATGTAGAGTCCTCTAAAATGAAAGGTCAGATTGGAAGCGGAGAATCTTCGAACAAAAAAATGTTCAGTGTGATGAAAGGTTCAAGTAATTGAAATTGGAGTTCCTATGGTTGCTGACAACAAACAGGAAGCACGGCGTTTCCGAACTGAGCGGTTTTCATAATCACCAACAGTAGCAGGAACAAATTTTTTCCATTAGTACTGAAAATATTTTGTACGCCCATGTCATTGTTCTCGCCATTGCCGTATAAATTGGTTGGATTTAAGGACGGAAATTGAGACAAATCAATAGATAAGGCGCGAACCTAATGATCGGGAGGTCCTTGGTTCGAACCTAGCCTCAGCAACTCGACTGCCGCCGTCTAAGCTCAGGCAACCTGGCAGTATCTAAGATCTCGTGCTTCTTTAGAGCGGTATGGCGGTTGAGCGACTGTAATTGATTTTTTCGCATTGACGTAAGGTTTGTAAATCCAAGTTGGGCTAACCAACCACTTGTGACCAAATGTTGTACCGTTCAGTCATTAAGCGAAAGATGTCGGGTTCGAACCTCCTCGTGTGATGGTGATTAAATTGGCTTGACTTCCAGGATGTAAGCTACTCGTTATCCGAGAAGTGCTCGATTCAAGTACCTTTACTGTTAGCCGAATATCCATTGGAAGACATTACTTGTTGAATACGCTAACTCTATGCAAAGTTGATGTGACGAAAATATGTCTATGCAAATGCCTAACGACCAACTTCGCCTGTTACTTATCCAAGGTGACCACGTGATTAGCTGATCAAGGGCAAAGTAACGGTTCCAACCCTCCCCACCCCCGCAAAAAACACCCACACTGTAACAGCTCACCTATTGTTTTCGGATATGTAAGCCGTTCCGGGCAGCACGCGTTCCATCAGTGTGTTCATTTGAACCCAGCTGATATTTGCCAGCAAGTTTCCGCCATGATCTATCAGGAGTATGTCGACCAATGGCACACGAGGAACTTCCGGTTGTGTGTGGAACTGTAACACGAGACAGAGATTCAAGTCAATCTCCCGCTGAAAACAAATTGCTGTTCAACCGAATGTATTTCGTGCAATTAGGGGGAAAAGTAGAACATAAGCTGTTGACGACAGCGAATGAATTTTCAAAGCCTTTATACGAACAGTTTTTGGTTACCAACACAGAGAAGAAACTTAAGAGCAACATAGAACGGCAACGTGGGAACTTTTGGCAAGATTTTTGTGGGGATTTCATCTATGCTAAAATGCCGAGAGCTGTTTGATCACTAGATGTGTGAACCTCACGAAACTCAGAGAATTTCGATGCCTGAACTTTCTGTCCAGTGTTTGAACACTTTATTAGTGTACTGCTGATGACGGCCATAACACAGATCAGAAGATATATGAACTAATAAAATTTTTTAGCATGGTTGACAGTGGTGGGTTGTAACACGTATAAAAATAAATACAATGCGAAATGGGAGCAAGTCAAAAGAGGAACTTATCGTCTGTGAGAGTCCCTTGGTGAAAGTCCGGACGGCGGGAACGTGTTTTCTCCGCAATGCGACTGCTACACGTGTTCCATAATTGTCCGTGGACTTGTGGAGAGTGGTTGACTTCCTGCTCCCTGCGCGCGCGCGAGTCTGTGTGTGCTGACAGTGTTTGGTTTCCCCATAGGTAGGTCCGTTGGCGTGTAAGTGGTTGTGTCAGCACATGAGTTGTTGCTACGGTCACCAGACGGTACAGACAATCGATGTCCGATGAGTCACCTTAATGTGACGTGACTTGTGAGTATGAAAAAAGGCAAGCCTCGTGATCCAGTGAGCGACTGTGAGCTGAACAGTCAAGTATGTGGGTGACCGGATAGCTACAACTTAACCGTCCGACCACCAGTGGCTGATCAGCAGTGAGATTAGTTCCCACTTGGACAGACTTGAAAGATGCGCGCTACTGATGATTTCCAACAAGGATGGAACGGTTCTTCAATGCTTCTCGGCTTTTCAGCATAGAATAACTTCATTGACAGTGTATCATCCGTTAGTTTGATGTTTGAAATCCCTCACGTTTCTTCTGTTCCTGTTTGTAACCCCCGCTTCTTGTTTTGTATTTAGTGCGTGCATATGAACTGGCGTTCGTTTGTCCCATCCATTTCACTCATCTAACCTTGAGGTCATCCAGTCATTTGTGACCGGCTTTATGCACGTGTGATTGTTTCACGTGGGAGCCTGTTTACTCATTTGGTTCGTACTTTTGTAGTCCAGGTGGACCACTTGTTGTGGACGAGTATCTACTGTCGAGTTTTGTATATTTTGTTTACTGATGTCTCGCATTAACAGTACAGTACCGTGTAGAAACCCAGCTCCAACTTTGTTTCGCCTTCCCGGAGGTTCTGGTATTACGCGTCACTCGAAGATACCGTTTACCTGTTACAGACAGCATGAACTTTCCATTGAATACTCCGAGTTCGTCATTTGTTTGGCGTTCACTCGAATTTATTCCTGGTTCGAGCCCAAACAGCAGGGCACATTTGGCAGCTTTGGGAAGCATGTGTTCACAGGTTAAGTTCTCAATATGGTTGACCTTCTGTTGCAGATGTAGTCCACGGAAGTATGGTCCATCAAGTTCCAGTTGGGGGTTGCCCGCACGCAAACATACATGAGTACACTTACCACATTTTCGCGGTACTTCACTCAAGCACTGAAGTTACCAGCCTCCAAATGAGACCACTGCCTTATTGTTAGAGGAAAAGGATCGTGCTGTTGCATTTGACCAGTCACCTTAAAGAGCACTCTCAGCCCGCTTTGGAGCCCAAACTCATGAGTAGTGTAATCGCAAAGGCTTCTGTTCTCAGTGCACTTTCAATACGGATATACTGTGCCACAACGTTCGGCTGTTTGCCCATATCATTCTCTATTACCTAACTTGAAGTGTATTGGCTTTGGGAAGAGTATTGCCGCTGACGGACGTCTGATCAAGTTAACGGGAAGTAACAACGTGTTACTACCTTGATTTACAGTGAAATGTAGGATGCCCTCCGTCACTCCGTTACCCAACGAAGCTAGTAGTACATTACGCCCTCGTGCACCTTTCCAAATTTGGAATGCTGTGGTGAACGGGCATATTCCCAGGCTGACTGTGTGTCCACTGAGATCCATTTCATCGACACTATCTAAAAGGTTCTAGCCCAGGTCGCCTAAGTTAAGATTTCGAAATCTAGGACAAATCTTCTGAGGAAGCACCGCAACCCTAAGTCGTATCTCATTTTAGGTATTTGGACTATACCAACCGCTGTAGGCCGCATCCATGAATCTGTTGTGGACTCTCGAAGTACAAAATAACTTTAGAGCTGATATGGACTACCGTTCGCGAAATAACACCTTTTTAAGGTCTATCACTACGTCAAAAACAGCACTTCAAGCGGCAATTTTTGTCAGAAGGGTGTGCTGCGCCGGACGTTTTACATCGTCGAATGAGCTGGAGGNCTACCGTTCACGATGGATTTAATCTTCCGCTTTGGAGAAAGCATTTCTGGTTAGTCCTTTCACATGCCTTTATTGAATGCGATATTTCAAACGTGTCATGCGAAATAACACATTTTTAAGGTTTATCGCTATGACAAAAACAGCGCTTCACGTGGCAAGTTTTGTCAGAAGGGTCCGTTGTACCGGAAGTTTTAAATCGTTGAATGAGCTGGAAGGGAAATTTGATTAGACAGATACATGAATGGGTCTTTTTCGGAAGTTAAAGAAACGATCTCTCTTGAAGAAACTGGGGCAGGTTCGCAGAGTGCGATCAGTCAGGCTCAAGATGTCCACAGGAGTGAAAACAGTCAATGAAAGCTGTCAGTGATTGGTTTTTCTCTACCAATCAAATGTAGGGTGGGTCATTTCTGTACCAGTAGTCATATTTTCCTGTGCACCGTTTTGTACGATCTTCCGCCCAGCTTATTCTTTGTTCATGAGATCAATCCCGATAATGTAGTGTGCATGAAACATCCAAAAACGAAAGATTCAGCTGGGTTCCGGGTGAGTCTCCTGTCAAAACCCGATCGGTTTGCAAACGAGTATATGTCGCTAATTTCGTGCAATTTGGGTTCAAGTAGAACATAAGGTTCACAGAACTCGGGGACCGCGTCCACCTGATGAGCTCCAAGAAGGGCGAAACCGGTTGTGAGCTGTCGAAGAGTTTTCAGCAACCTTACGAGTAATATATTACATCTACAAATGCACGCTGCTGATGTCCTCACGATTAGTGAGGACAGTAAATCACGAAGCTTGCTGAACAGATTGACAGCTACGTGAGAGGAAGCTAATTAGTAAACCGGAGATGCTAATATTTCAACATCCAAGGCCAGCTTATTCCAACGACTTTCTAGCTGATGAGTAATTCCGTAGCTTTAGATGGTTGACTGCTGTTGAGACCATCGAAATATTCGAAGATCGGGTTTGTTTACCAGTGACTGATCAGATGGCCGTTGATCCGTTCGCCGAACATGACACTTAGCTTGCAAACGCTCCATATGCGGTGGGAGCGCACCTACTCCTGACCTGCTGTTGCGTATATATGGTTTTCAAAGAGTATCTGGTATCCTTTCATGTGATTGGCTAATTTTGATGCAGCATGTAGTTTGGTTGGCCGATTTGATCGATTGGCCCGTTGTTAGTTTAAAATCGCAGTTTTTTCCGGATGCGGTGCAGTGCGGTGCGTATGTATGCGATACAGTGGGTTATATCTGCATGGACCTGAATATCGGCATGTAAAACAAGTGCACTCCATGACTAGCAGAGGCCTTACTTCAACCAAGCCAAAAATCATAACTGTTTTTCAGCTCTCTCAGTTGTCCGTTGGTCGTGTTGTTGTCGGACCAACCGCTTAAAACATGAAAGCCAAGTTGACGAAGCTTCAGGAGCAGAGTAGGTCTTTTGGCTGTTTTTTTTATTGATTGGTGCGTTTTGTTCACCCAGCCCACGTCTATCGACCAGCTGTGGTGTTCTCACTGGCCGGATAGACATGAACTTCGACTCACTTTCTGATAGGTGCATCCATTGTTTCACATGACAAACATGTGTATTCCTTTGATAAGTACACAGAGAGTTGACAATGTGTCAGCTTTGTTAGGCAACTATCCTGAGAAAAACTACATTGGTTCCTTAAATATCAACCCCAGCACATCTAGCCCGGATTTTACACAACACAATGAACTGAAGATTGGAATGAGGGTTCATCGTGATTGGTTGATTCTGAAAACCAATTCGATGAATACTGTTCATTAGCCATTGATTCTTACTCGGACATAAAGAATGGACAACGGGTAAGATCTTACAGATAGCCCCATTATTTTCACCTAGAATTTATCAGATCGTTACCAAACGGAACAAACTCCCATTCGGAAGGTCACGCTGTCTGTCGATTTTTAAGCAGTAGGGTCTTTTCTACTCGCGGACATACCAGTCAACCGTAAATAATTATGAAACTTAGTTGAATGAGATCCAGATACATTTTTCATCCGTTCGGTGACATGCTATTCGGACTGATTAGCGAGTAGTATTATTAGGAAGTGCTGTGAATGAGGGAGTTATCAGCAGTGTGCGCCTCATGAAACTTAGAGAGCTTTCAACTCGGGACCTTCCTATCACTAGTGTGGCCCCGAGTGACCACGCAACGGTTTGATTAGCTCCCAGTCAGATAAGTTAGAGTCCACTCAATCTTCAATAAGGAAAACCGAATCACTTGGTCACGTGTTGACTTGCCACACGAGTAAACGACTTTACCTATAAAGTGTGAAACTACTCTTGTGAAACCACTCTTTCTCTGAACCACTTATAGACCGACCGTAGTGTGAAGAGATTTTGTGATTTGTCTCCAGCTTCCAGGGCGAACGATGACTCAGTCGCTTTCCTTGAACTCACCAGTTTATGAAAGCTTACTAATAATCGAGACTAGTGCATATGGCGAGAAGATTCTACAGCTGTATTCTACAACTGGATCCAGGAGCAAAGGAACACTTACTGGGACGTAAACGGCTTTATCGGTGTTGACGCCATTTCGATCTTGGATGAGGTAATGTGGCAACAAAAGACTCTTCAGATGTCTTTCATCTGTTGCCAGCAGCAAGATTTTTGACGTCGACGGGTCTTCATGTTCCCACATTGCTCCTCCTGGACGGTACTGGAAGTATTCTGGATACGAGAAGGAAAAAGTGATATATTTCGTACAAGATGAAGAAAGTACAACGCAACCGCTGGTTCTCTATCAAAATGTCATCAGTCAAGAACTCGTATGGTGATTTGCGCGGACTAGGAACGATTTAAACGAGCCCTCCTCCTCTCCAAGAGCATAATCTTGTTTCCTCAAAGGGCAATTTAAAAAACGCATCAACTGATAGCCTTTGATCCAGCGTCATCAAAAAACTGCTGTCAATCACAGATGTAGACGAGAAAATTTTAACGTTCAAACGCCAATTTAAAACGATACCCGGCAGTGCACTTTAATTGGTCTTGCCAGTGAACTCTTCCTGCAACGCTTACCAGCCTGACAAGGCGTACACTTTCAGCTACGGGTGTTAGAGTCGATTGAACGTAAGCCTTGGTCGATCAGTCAAACCTGGCACACTCTGTCATCGCACTGCCACAAAGAACTGCCATTCCGACCACATCATTTGCTAGAAGCTCTTGTACGACTCATAATTCATCTTGGTGGTTTGAAATTCCCAAGACGTGCGCACAAACCTAACTGATATAAATCAGATGAAGAAAAAACATGACGTCAGTGTGACTGGTCGAATCAGAGAACTGGTTAGAAAGACCGAGTTGAAACGTGCGCTGAATGTATGTGACCATCATAAGGCCTTGGATCTAGAACACCATTGAGTGACAACCTGAAACAACCTAGACCGTTGGGTAAATACAACCAAGAAGAAAATGCACTTTCTAAAATTTCAAACATCCACTTCACCATCTTTGTGATTGTACTTTAAGTGATACAAGATGGGGATTTTATCTGGGAAACTACTCACAAGGTTACTGAAAACTCTTCGATTGGTTTCCTTTATGAAAATATACTGCGATGTCTCGAATAGCGTAGCAACTGAAACATGAGTCGGGCTGTGTGCAGCACATTCAGTTGGGGAATATCACAAACAAGAGATTCTCTTGAGTCTTCCGTTAAAACCAAATTGATTTGTCGAAGATACCGTTTTCTTGTGTAATGACTAATACAGTTACGTGAATTGGAGGTGCCCTACTGGTGTGTGGGGAAACAGCTGGAAGATTGGCGAATGCATGCAAGCTTTCTGTAGAGGGGACCAAATTTTATACTCGAAAACGTCTGAAATCGAATGTAGATGCTCTGTGAAATTGAGTAGAAAGTGGGGTTCTGCATCCATGATCGTTGTCTTCGAAAAAGCCGGTTTTTTACCATTCAGTATGGATGGATTCATCATTCTTCACTTACAGTTTCGAAGAGTTCCAGTTTGTCTTGGACACTTCGGTTATGCTCATGACCAGTAACTTTAAAACAGCGGACCTATATTGTTTGCTGGCTGATCTTCATAATTGGGAGTAAGAAACATACTACTAATAATGAGGAAGTAGATTTTCCAGGATAAGATTTTATAGTGTAGTCTCTGCGTGACCTTTCGTGGAATTTTCTGTATGAACGGCTGATCTTCATAATTGGGAGTAAGAAACATACTACTAATAATGAGGAAGTAGATTTTCCAGGATAAGATTTTATAGTGTAGTCTCTGCGTGACCTTTCGTGGAATTTTTCTGTATGAATTTGGCCATTCTTCTCTCCAGGATGGACACCCATAGGAGGATTGTTCCTTTGGAATATGATATCTTGCGCAAAACCAAATAGGTTTCACAGACTCGGATACCCTTTCAGTGTCAGTTGAACATCGGACGAGCTACCGCCCTAATCAAGTCGATCTTCATGGGTCCGAGGCCCGTTATATCGCACTTTGTCCAGATTCTTGATTGTTTTACTTGGAAAATTTTCAATACATTTAGAGAGTATCAATATTGTCAGACTTTATAGCGGTTATGTAAGAGTACCGTGATCCTCCTGAGTGAATTACCCCATCGGCTTTGTGTGAACTTTCATTTCTTTCGTAAAGACCTCTCTCATTCTCTGGGAAAAGCCCATGGGATGAAGTCTGTGTTACAAAAGCTGATGGGTTCTACAAAGAAGAGTGGCTTTTCAACTTGCGTGAGACGATTCACACCGTCTAAATTCAGGACCGGCGGCGGTGCCCTTTCGGATCACAGCATGCTGTGGCACTGGGCAGCTAGCCTTAATGCAAATAAGTTAATTTATCCAGTGAGGAATTCCAGCACTAGGTTGAGGGCATTCAATAACAACGAAAAGTGCATAATGTCTATTTGAAGTACATACACTACTACATAAGAGAGATAGCGGAAAGGGGACCGTCCTCTCCCGTAGGGCTGACCTCGGGTTGATCGCAATCAGTTTAACGCCGAAAGAAAATGCTGGTGTTCAGCATCCCAAGGTGAGCCATCTCTTTCGGTGGGTCTTCTTTGAGACTCCCTGAAATTTTTGTTCTTAATGAAGATATATGGAAACTAAGGAAACGGTGTATGCTACTGGTGAGAATTGCGAGTAGTGTCTGGCCGGGTGTCAAAGTGACGTCCCCGCATCCGATGGAACTTTGGTATGGAACCGCCTTGCAGTGATTGTGCCTTATTGTTCAACATTCAAACAGATGTCCAGGAAGTTTCAAGGTAACGCTTGGAAATGTTCACTTGTCTAATGTCCCACGCTAATAAGACTTTGATTTAATGTGCAATGACTTGTAACCGGTTAGTTCGGGTGAAAATTGAAACAATAGAGCGAGATGGTCGGTGGATCGCGTTTGGTCTACCACATCAAACGCCGTACCTGACCTAATTTTCGTGTGACTTTGCTTCTTATTTTCAGGTACATTGAAGTAGTTTTGTGGCCAATGGGCACTTGGGGACAGATTTGGGTGAATTCGGTGGAAGTTGATAAAACGAGGAATGTTTCTATTCATCGAAAGTTTTGAACCACTCGCTTTATTCTTAGCGATGTGATGCCTTGATAAAAAACTTCACCTGGGAACCAGGTCTTTGTTAGTTGTAGATGGGGTGTGATCATCCGTGTCTTAGAAAAGAAAAGCAGACGTGCAGTACCGGTTGTAGGAAGATGAACTTCGATTGTCTGATTTTGCAAATTCTTATTCAGATTCAGACGGAAAAGAACAATCACCCATAATGAGATGTTTTAAAACCGTTCGGAGTGCTCATGGGAGATGAGATATACACAGGAAGCCCTCAGGAAACTGATTTTCTGTCTCTAGGTGTTGATGCGTTCGTATAACCCAGGCGTGACGTTAACTTCTGCTGTCCATACAAAAAGCCAGATAAGACATCATAACACCAACGATAAAAAACAAGGGATACAACAATGACAAGCTTTCTTACTTCGGTAAATCCAGCCTGGATAGCCAAAATTCCAACCTGGTTCCAATTGGCAAGTCAAACATCGAAAAACGCTTCCAGTTTTCAGTAGCCGAATGTCTTGTGAGTAGTATAGATTGGTTCCTTGGTGAGCAAACTGGACAGATGGAAATGAGAAGCGGTCAGTCGTGTACTCATATGGACAGTGTGGGAACGTTTCAATAGACCAACAGACCAATAACCCTTCTGTACGGATCCCAAAAACCAAGCTCTAACTCAATGTTTAATAGAACCTGTGTATGTGTTAGTATACACGATAGGTGTACACTACATGAAATGTGACCAACTGTCCATTCAGACGTACGACAAAGGCAAAGCATTCCTACTTTATTTCAAATGTGGTAGTATTGTTTCTACTGCATCCAGAAAATGGTCTGAATATTGATGGCATTGTTGCCAGATGTGAAAAAGTTTCATGTAGTTTTGTCCTTTAATTGAAGTCAATCTATGCGGAGCAGTCGAGTAGTTCTGTTTTATCCCCAGTGGGAGTCATCAGTAGTGGGTGTCCCACGGAACTTTAGTCGGGAGTTTCGAACCCGTGGCTTGAAGTTTGACCGATCGTCTACGAACCATAATTTCGGGGGACAAAGTAATACACAATTTCTTTTCGAATGCGCACAAACAGACGCCTGAAGTCCGTTTGGACAAAACCTCCGCGTTTAAGAAGGGCTATGAAGGCACGCAGAATTGGAATCTTTCAAGGACTGATAATGACTCCGCATAAAAAAGACGATCCCAGTGGTTCATGGGGATTTTAGCTCACTACTGTGTCAGGGACGTTTACTAGCTCGATCACGAATGGTTGAACAGATAAAGTATACAAATCTGAATTCCTTATTTACACATGTTTATCTCCATCTACGTGAGTTTACCACTACTCAACCCTGGGGTTAGCCTCCAGGATCCGGAATCGAATCCAAGCACGGAGTTTCAGGTTAGGATAATGGCCCTTACTTTTCAACTTGCGCACACTCAGTTTCATCAACAGAAATACTATAAAAAATACCATATTACTTAATATACCAAAAGTAGTCGTTTTCATTTGGAAAGAGAGACTTACAGACAAGCTAACGCTGTAGCGACGGGATAAAGTGGGTGGACAGTAGCTGCCACATTAAGATATCGTTCAGCTGTAGCACCCTTTCGGTGCCTAGCTAGCATGCCACCCGAAGGAATTCGCAAGAGCTGGGATACTGCCAGTTTGTCTAAGCTTGGACAGGGGAAGCCGAGAGGCGGAGGTCGGATTCGAACCACGGACCTTACGGTCAGTACGCTCGCTCTCCAACCACTGAGCCATCTCGCCCCGGTTTCATAAATCTTTACAAACAAAGCTTTAATATCCGCAGACCGTAGCCAGCTTGTACGCTACAGAATAACCTCGTTTTTTCAACGTTATTTTTTATCACTGAAATCTCAGAAAGAATCTCCACTGTACTATGTGACAGTTTTGCAAGTTTGATCCATAGGCTTATAATAAAAAATCTGACCAGCAATTTTTCAAGTATCCCAGACGGGTTTGTACTTTTAAATTCATCTAGGACAAAGATGTATTAGCCAAAGTAATATCCAGTGGCTTTGCATAAAAATCTATTACCGTTTTGAGTGCTTGACATCCACAGAGTGAGAACTTCAATACGGCGGAAAAAGGAATATATTTTCTAGACCAGAGCTTCAAAGTGTCCATTTCCTCACCGCTATGGCGAGCAAAATTGTGTGCTACGATTGGTCGAGCCTGTCTAGCCACCCAGCTATACAGTTTCACCATCAGTTGCGGCGAAAGATGCATCGACCGATCAGACGGTGACTCATGTCAACACTCTTCGGAATACAGGCCTGATCATTTGAGTCAGCTGACCGATTAATCGATGACTCCGATCAATCGAGGGCTGATTGGGTTGGTGTCAGGGCAATTCAAGTGAGCGACAAGTGAATCTTGCTCCGCAGTCCTGCGCAGTCCTGAAGAGAACCTACTAGCTTCAGTGAGATAGCCATGTGCACATAAAATACCACGCGATGCTCTGCTCTGTGGTTTCAAAAAAAACTAGAAGGTTGCAATACTGAACGCAGATGAGTCATCATGAGTTCAAGCAGCTTAAAACCCAATGAATACCCGTATTAAATAATAGATAATGTTCCTCAGGACATGATAACTTTATCCGAATACCATTAAAAACGAACCCAACATATATTAATGTTTAAAAGTACCACTCAAAAATTTGATGATAATACTTTCAGGAAAACTGGTGCGGTCTATGGAAGGAAACACTTCCAAACGAAAATACAAAAGGTTCACTCACCAGAGAAAAATCTCTCTCTCCCCACTGGACAAAGTGGAGAAACGCAGAACCGTTTCCTGTTCCGCTGGGATCAACTGGAATTCGTCGAGTGCTAGGTTGGACGGCAAAAAATTATTTCGCAGATCAGTACGTCTATACAAAAGAATTGTTGAGGGTGATTATTATAGTTTCGCCGTGTTTTGATTACGAGTCCACGCGATCGATATCGGACACAACTAGATTTGATTTGTCCAATTATCCACAAACAAAACGATTTATTCATGGCAATTCTTCGGGGCCCAATTAAATTAGAGGCATTACCTGGGGGTAATCAGATTGTCACTTTATACGTTACTTGTAGAGAAAAGAACCTAAACGCTTGCACTGTTCTGAGCTAAAGATCTGGTACGCAACGAGGATGCTGTTGGATATCGTTCAGGTGCACGATCGAGCAAATAATCTGGGTCTTTTGTTACATTCAACTGAAGTTACGGTGACTCGTCATTTAGGCGACAGCTGCATAAACCGATCTATGGTGTGACACACTACAGGTTGGTGTAACCCAGCTCTACTTTGTGAAACTAGGGATCCA